CTTCCGGGATCCTCAGGTGGTGCGGACTGACGAGAGGCTCTGCCCCATGTCACGAAGCGTGCAAGCCGAGCAGGAAGGAAGGACCTGCCGACGGAAGGAGCGGAGGACGGAAGGAGGGAGGAGGAGCCGCGGCCGCAGGCCCCACCCACTAGGCGGGGCGTGGAGGCTCCGCCCAGAGCTCCCGCCCACCCCGCGCGAGCAGGGCGGTGGCGAGGCCCCGGCCGCTCACCTGGCGCTCCCGGGCAGCTCCGCCCGCAGAGCTAGCGGGGAGCGGTGGGGTCGGGCTTCCGCCGTACCCCGAGGCCGAGGCGGGCCTGTGGGCGCCTGCGCTCAGCCCTGGCACTGTAGCCCGAGTGGCGGCGAAGGGGGCGGGGCCTACCTGCCTCCCCAAACCACCTTCCTTCTTAGGGCCTGAATCCGACCTCTTTTTGACTTGCCGCTAGACCTGTAGGGGACCGTGAGGTGCCTAGGCGGGACCGCAACTCTCGGGGGCTTTCATGGGATGAGAGGCTTAAACTATAGTGGATAAAAATACACCTTGATGAATTTCACAGAACAGGATGGGCGTAAGATGCTATTTGAATCTTTGCACAGCTCACCTGGGTCAAAGGACAAGCGTTGGTGTTTTTCTTTTGAGGGCGGAGAGTTTGGAAGGAAACTGTTTTCTTTCCCATCCTTTCCCTTCTCTCCTAGGATCTTTTCTACCCCGGGGGACGTCCTCCCTCGCTTTAGACTTCCTTTTCTCTTCGTCCTTTTGGCTTCTTCAACCCCCCTCACCTGCGGAGCCTCCTTCTCACCTTTGTTCTCAGGTGCCCCTGTCCCCGCCTTGGCGATCCTTCCACCCAGACTCACTCTCCGCGCCCTCCTTCCTCCGTACCTCTCCCTCTCCGTCCCGCAAGGAATTCTTCGCTAATAACCCCTGTTCCCCTTGCCCCCGTCACCGCAGCCAGCCCCTGTCCTCGCCACCCACCCCAGCGGTCCTCTCGCAAGCACACGTACATCGCTGCTTTCCTGTGCCACCTGCTCTCCCCCCGACTCCCCTAGAAGTCCGCCGCCTCCCCGCGCTGTCCCACGTTCCTGGGGCCTCGGCGGGGAGCGCAGACACTCCCGAGCCGTCTCCAGCGGGGTAAGCCGGGGAGCCCAGCCCGGAGCCGGTGGGGGAGGGCAGGCGGCGCGGGGCGGAGCGGGTTCACTCTAACCCTGGAGTGACGGCCCGGCTTGGCCCGCCCCCTGAGCCCTCGGGAAAATCTCTGGCCCGCCCCCTCCCCTCCTGCGCCGCCGCCGATTGGCCCAGGCGCGTGTCGGGTAGGGCGGCCGGGCCCTGGCGCTCGCCCCCGGGAAGGCAGCAGGGGCGGTTGAGAAGTGAAGTCTTGGCCAGAGTTTGCTTCTTGCCAGGACGTCCGCGGCGGCGGCGGCGGCGGCGGCCCCGGAGGAGC